CTACTAGTTTTCATCCGTACCATTCTCATTCCGAGAACAGATAATTTTTATAATGTAAACAGGGCTAATGTGATGAACTAAATATTATCATTTTAAAAGTACATTGATTGTCAGGTTTATATACCAATTTCAAGGGTTATTTAAGTGTGCACTTATTCTAATGCAGGTCAATACACATTTAGATGACATGCACTTGCTGTGTTGCACATCATATGATGTAGCTACAATTATCATGCTGAGTTATAGATGCTTCAACACAATGTTGTATTTTCAAAACTGGGTAGCACCTCTCAATTCAACTGAAACGAATGGTGACATGTTATGAATGATTCAATTGTTTAATTTATCACAATGTTTTGTGGTAGCCAGCTGTGGTAATAGGTTCAATGTTACAGAGATTCTCAACCTGTCTATACCTACACATGTTACAGATAGATATCAAAATACTTTATTTGTTATTCTTATAGAATATTTCTTTAGTGTAATCGTGCTGAATTGCAGGAACACATCATGTATATAGTTCAATTTGTCTATACCAAACATGTTACTAAGAATTCAGCATTTTTATGTAATAATCAGAAAATATGGTGAATATGAATAAGAGCCTATTTCTATTTTTCGTTCACCTGCTCTGCCTTGATCTTAGTAGTCAGAAGAAAAAAATCTAAAAAAGACATTGGCAATAACTAATAATTGAACAACATACTGACAAAAACAAGTTTTACAATCAATTATATAGGTTTTGTTTTGTAAATCTGGGCTGCAATTTTTCAATACAGGATTTTCCAAAGAATTAATGATGAAGTAACATTTAGTGTAATTTCCTGCTATTTAATATTTCTCTGGAAAAGAGGATTGACAGAGTAGTAGGGATGAGCCTAAATAAAAGGAGGTAGATCCTGTTGTTAATTATTTGATGTGTATTTAGTTGAGAGGAAAACATGAACCTCAAGGTTGTATATTTTTTCCTCAAAGATATTCTGTTCATTTTAGAATATTTCAGAATTTCCAAATTTTGTAAAAGTATCTAAAAAAGTATTTTTTTCAGTATTTTGGTATTTTAAATTTCCAAAATAAATTGATGGTTCTATTTTTGGTTGATTAACGTCTTCTTATTTCTATTTATGATCAAATTTTACTGATTATCTTTGACATGTGAAAGTAGTTTAATAACATGTTTTATATTTTTGGCCTTTAATTAGAAATCTGTTATCATTTTCAGCAAAAACCTTTTCAAAAGGGAATTTGCTTTTTTCCAAAACTTTATTTACTAATACAAATTTCACACTTTAGTCATTAAAACTATTTTGAGCCTAATATTTGAATATACCAAAAATAGATGTTAAAATTGAATTTAACTACAAATTTTGACAAAACTTGTTGTTCAGTAACACCTCAAAAATGTTGAAAAGAAGTGTATAACTGAATATTTGATACTGATGATTGTTACTGTACTGCCAAATATATTTATTTAAATTCAGGCTGCTAATTTTTGCAAGATTTACGTGACAAGTCATTTTTTATTGCTAACAGTTTAAATTATGCTTTGACGTTTGCTTTAAAATCCATAGAATAACTGCATTCTATAGATGTCAAATCGTATTTGTGAGACAGATAAATATTTTAAAACATGATAAGATAAGTTATGTAACATGTCATAATAATATTATTTTTCAAATGTGTGTTACTGAGTTGGGAACCTTTTTAATATTCCTGCAGCTCAAATAAACCAGAGAAATGTTATGTTTCCGTTCATAATTACTTACATGTAACATAATGTGAATCGAAAATAGTGTTAAAACATATGTCCGGCATGAAAATCCGCGTCCTCTAGGCTATTTAATTGATGTTTGAATTTTAGCCAAATGACATTGATGTCGCTTAGCCATTTTGTTACGATATCACTTATCTTGCTATGAATTAACAAGTTTGCCGATCTTTAATATTAACAGAATGCCACCATTTGCGGTTTCTGAAAATTGACTCATTGCTTATGGAAATTCTAGAATTCATGTCAAACTATGGTTATTTTCATTCCCAGTTGAAAATTATGTAATATCAGATCTCAACTACTGAGGTAACTTTACCATGTACATTATATATGTTTGAAAGTAAATGTTTAGCATGTCTTTCGTAAAGTTTGAGTGGTGCAAACTCAAAGTTCAACCTTAGTCCAACTTTAGTCAAAGTTTAGATAAAGTATAAGAGTTGCATCAGGAAAACCAGTAAAATGAATTTAGATAGTTGAAATTATCAAAGTAAAGTCCAGTGCATTAAGAAAACATAAAAAAGAATTCCATTAAAGATAGGTTTCATTACTTTTTAGCGTCAAATTAAGCAAACTATTTCATTATTTGGTGTTTCTAATGAATTATCACGTATCTTTATGTTCTTATTGCATATAATTAAGACTTTTAATCATAAATGTCCACGTATGTAGGGTCTGGATAAACAAAAAAAAGACTTGACTTTTCTTGATTTGTCACTCATTGGAATTCTGATGGTAATTTTCTTAAAACTTACCTAATTATGAATTAATTATGGACATGGGAGACAAACTGGTATTTGTCCATGTCATTAGAACACCTTTACTTTCTATTCATATAAGTATTGGCATTGTCATAAATGAAAATAAGCGACCCCATCTTAAAAAAAAGCTAATAAATTGCAACTCGTTGGAAGTATTTTTGTTGCCGTGTTTTATTTTATTGATCAATAAAAAGTGAGAGAAATATCTGTTTTCCTGCATCTGAAAATCTCAGTTTGTGTGTCAGTTTTGGCTTCTAGTAATTGGTATCATTTCTGAGGGAACCGTGAAATGATTTTCTTTGTTATTTTTCATACAATAACATACAAGCAGATTAATGTTTTTTTGACAGTATACTGTCCAACCCGAGAGCCAAATGTGGTATTTAATTGCATTAATGCATATATTTCTGCAACAATGCATTTATTTAAAGATTAAATCAGTCTTGAAAGTGTTATAATTTAAAAACTGATGAATCAAAACAACACCCAAATAAAATTAATGTCATCTAAAAAGAGTTTTATGTACATATAAGAAAATAAATATCCATTATGAGATAAGAAATAAAAAAGATAATATTTTGGAGGAAAAGATATACACCTTGAAGTTTCTCATGAAATTCTTTTGTTACGAGTTGGGGTAAGTCTGGTGTTTTTGAATTATTTTATCATTTTATAAGCAATTTCACCAAGGCCAGTGCTTTTATGAGATTTTATTCTTATCACCATCTAACACTCAATTTGATTTAACAGGTGACTAAACACTGTGAGAATTTTAGGTACAATATATATTCTGAATATTTATAATACATATATTACATATACGTATATTGATTTTTATTTTTAAACAAAATGAGTTCAAACTCTTTACACATTCATAGAGTCTATTGTAAAAAGTAAAGTGATTTTATGCAGATCCAGCATTTAAAAAAGTAAGCCTAAACATTGACAGCATACTAGGTAATGTAGCCTGTGGGTGCCTTCATGACCAGTCATGGAAATGACTTTTGAATCTTAAATAGAGGTCAATAATTCTACTTAGTTGCCATTGAAGAGTTCCACTAAACTGGACTGTACACAGCAGATCAAGGGTGTGCTATAAGAATGTTCTTCTTCCTTCATTATCTAGTAAGATTATCAGATATTCTGAACTTGTTTTTACACATTGGTGATCATCACAGGGGCTGAAATGGAAAGAGTTTTTAGTTATAGGTTTGAGATAAGAAACTTGTAATTCAATTTTTATACACAATATAATTGAAGGCAACACTTTTAATGTTAATGATATTGGTTTGTTTATGACCCAGAACTAATTCCATATCTTTTATTTATTTTTTATAGTTGCCTTGTTTGCTCTTTTCTCCCTGAGTTCACCCTTTAGAAACACCCTACTTGGTTTGTCAACTGTGTACATAGCTCATAATGTTAAATTTGTATGAATTTCTATTTCTATTTGCAGTTATTAAAGAGTAAAAATGGTTCTATCTTGTCCTTTCCTAACAAAGGTACCAATGAATCAGATAAGACAGTATGCTCCAATGTTGATGAAGTATGCTAAACAATGTCCTATCATGTCTCAAGCTGTCCAGTACAGCTCAGTTGTGGACTCCCTTGACAGTAAGTAGTGCTTAATGCTTGGTGTCAAAAACGGCAGCATAAGATTGGATGTACTACCCGTCTGGTACTTAAACTATGTAGCAAACATTGCAATTTATCAGTATCTAATTCAACTCACTAGTATCTTATAAAAGGTCATGATCCTACGTAATGGTGGAGTGAAATGTTACTGATAAATGTCTTAATCATTACTATCAAATTATGAATCTATATGGCCAATTTAATTACAGAGGAGGAAGGAAGAAAATGTCCACATTTTGGTAAAGCTTCCATGACCTTGAATGATGAGAGTTTGACTAAACAACAACTGGATAACCATGTCCAAGGTAAGCTTCATTATTCAAATCTTATAGAACAACAAATAGATATGCATCTTCTTATTTTTGAGAAATTCCCTTTGTAAGAAGATTTGATTTAAGATCAAATGATATCAAATGTTAAAAAAGATCATATCACTTTGGACCTAACTCTGACCGATGAAAACTATAACTATTATTTTTCTTATCTTGTATTTCTTTTTAATTACTAGAATTGGAAACCAAGTATGAAGTGAAACTGAATCTGAATGAAGTTGTAGAAACACGGTCTGATAGTGGTGTTGATTTAGATTTTAATGAAACATCATCAATACCTAATATTAACCTTCAGGAGAAACTAAAAGAAATCCAGAAAGCCGAAGCCACTAAAACTGAAGGTATGATATGATCCTTTACAAATCCAGAAATGTTTGTTTAATATCAGTAGAAATATGATTTTAAAAGATAATAATGAGGTCATTTACAAAATTGTTGTCTGGATCTTGGTAGTTGATTGTCTGCTTCTGTGACTTCATATTTCTGTTAATTTCAGGAGTGAAGTCAGTCTTCTTTAATTATGACGCCTTCTTTGCTAAACAATTAGACAAGAAGAAAAAGGATCATACCTATAGAGTATTCAAGAAAGTGATGAGAAATGCTAGTAATTTCCCATATGCTAGTGAACATACTAATAATAAAAAAGATATATCAGTATGGTGTAGTAATGATTATCTAGGTATGAGTTGGCATCCAAAAGTAACAGCTGCTGTAAGGTATGTCTTTCAGTTATCTTCAGTTCATATAATTAAAGTTATCAAATCAGAATAAACTTAATAAAATTGTTAAAATAGACAGAAACAGATACCAGATACCAGATACCAGGGTAAAATGACACCATATACAGCAACATCTGAATTGTTCTAACTAGTTAATATAGTGAGCAACATTTTATTATGGTTCACAATATGGTGTTTTTTATTGTCTGTCACCGTAAATAATGGCCATTCCAGATGCAGATACCATAATACTTAGGCCTAAATGTAAACTTTATACAATATTTCTTCAATGCATGCTTAACTAATAATCCTTACATTTATATTTCATTGATTAATGGGAATGGTGGCATCAAATTTTTGTTTTAGAGATGCTGTAAATAAACATGGTGTTGGAGCTGGCGGTACCAGGAACATTTCTGGTAATTCACCTCTTCATGAAGAATTAGAAGAAACACTGGCAGAAATACATCAAAAAGAGGCTGGGCTAATATTTACTTCATGTTATGTAGCGAATGACACAACATTATTTACATTGGGAAAAACATTGCCTGGTAAGCAAATTTTTTTTAGGTTATTTAACTTTATGCTTGAATAAACTATACAGTATATATAACATTATATTTTTTTTTTTGGTAAATCACATGATGTTAATTTTTCTGAATCAATAATTTCAGTTATGTAAAATTTATCTCTGAATTTTTTAACTACCTGTATAAAGATTATTTTTTGTAAAGTACATGTACATTAAATCTATTTATTATGATCATTGAAGTGGGGAAATTATATAACAAGTGGATAAAAGAAACATTTATAACTTTTTTGAACATATGTACTTGTACTTGAGATGTTGCAAACTTGCAAAGTTGACATATTTTAACTAAAGTTTAAGTTAGGCCTTAATGGGATGTCTCAATCAGATAGAAACAAAGTTTGAAACACTAGAATAAATCATAGACATAAAAAAACTGCAACATGGTGTTATTATTGTCTTTGTACCAAACCATCTCAGCACAGCTGATCAGAAACATGTCAGTTTCCTAGCATCCAATGACAATGAAATTTATTTGATTTTATTGTCCCAAATTGATCAAGCTGGTCACCATTTTTTGAAAAATATTTTCAGGAGTACATTTTTTCTCTGATTCCGGTAATCATGCCTCTATGATACAAGGATTGAGGAACAGTGGAGCGCCAAAACATATTTTTCAACATAATGATCCTGATAGTTTGGAATCTCTCCTGAAACGAGTGGATATGAATATCCCTAAAATTGTGGCATTTGAAACTGTTCACTCAATGGATGGTAAGTATTTTCTATATTTGATATTTTTTAGACATTATATTGGATTTAAATAAATTAGTATTGTTTTAGTTTTTATAAGTGATAGTACATTCTAGATACATTTCTTGAATCTGTTTACCAATCAATCAAGTCTACTGTCAAATAAAATTGTGACTCAATTTTAATGATGCTTTCAATTAGGTTAACAGAGGAAGTGATGTCATAGTTAATGTGCTAAGTTAACATTTTATTATATCAGTTATATCAAAGCTTCATTATTACTCAATTTTACCTCACATAATTTCATATTTTTTTAAGGTTCAATTTGTCCATTGACTGAACTATGTGATGTGGCTCATAAATATGGTGCTCTAACATTTGTGGATGAAGTTCATGCTGTAGGTCTATATGGTGATAAGGGGGCTGGTATTGGTGAAAGAGATGGGGTACTGCCTAAAATGGATCTGATAACAGGAACACTTGGTAAGTATCCAGGAAAACATGAGTGATGTACTGATCATCTCAAAATATGTTTATTTTTGTGAGATATTTTTCTATACAGAAATATGTTATATCCATATAGCTATAAATAGTATATAAAAATGTCTTTAAGTTCAATAAATCCATTGATAAGCCTAACCAGAAGATTATCTATAATGTTTACCTGTAGAAAAAAATTTCTGTACAGGTCAATTTTGTACTGTAATATCCACTCTATGAATATGGATTACATGTATATTTACATAATATAAATATTTATAATTTGGCTAACATTTGGTGAGTAAGTAGAATTGAAGAAATCTGTAAAAATATAACAGTATTGTCATATTATATATATTAAAGTATAATTTATATATACACCAGGTAAAGCATTTGGTAATATGGGAGGTTATTTAGTTGGTTCAGCCAATACTGTGGATATGATAAGAAGTTATGGTTCTGGTTTCATTTTCACTACCAGTTTACCTCCAACTGTTCTTAGTGGGGCTCTAGCATCCATCAAGGTACATGTACCAACATTTCGATATTTAATCATTGACAACAAGGCTGACACAGACCTAAGCTCTTGGTTCAGCTGTGTATTAAACTTTCTTGCAATTCTATCAATTCAGTGACATTTATCGCCACATGATCTATTGTTATGTCTTATGTATATTTTGTATAGGTGTTGGCTAGTAATGAAGGGAGAGAACTCCGTGAGAAACATCAATATAATGTAAAGTATGTACGTGATAAGCTAACACTAGCTGGTATTCCAGCAATGCATGCACCAAGTCACATTATTCCAATACATGTAAGTATCAACATTTCTTTCCTTAACCATTTTTGTCAAGCAATTCATTCAATTGGTTGTAAAATAAAGTGAAAAGAAACCAATTAGGAGAGATCATACATCTAATCAAAATCTATTATGACAAAAAAAAACAATGGCTTATCACCATCAATTGAATATTGTTAAATGTTAAAATGTTGTGTACATGAAACTCATTGTAAACCATAAAGATGTGTTTTATTATTTAATGAATAACATTGTTTGAATGTAATTTGATGATTACCTGGTATGATTTTTTTATTTGAACTAGGTTGGTGATGCTGAAATGTCCACTAGACTATCTAATGAACTGATAAAACAACACGGTATCTACGTACAGGCTATAAACTACCCTACAGTAGCTAGGGGTGAAGAGAGACTACGCCTAGCACCAACTCCTCATCATACCACTGAAATGATGGATTATTTTGTTGACAGCATCCTCAACGTCTGGAAAACATTTAAACTTGACCTTTACCAACCTATTTGTCCTAAAAAATGCGAAAATTGTCGTAAAAATTTGAATTTTGAAAATCTGTATGCGTCAGAACCTATTTGTGTTCGCTCTAATTGTACATACCAGTCCCTTCAATCTCAGTTAGAATAAAATCAGTTGATAGATGACTCACGCTGGGGTTTTGTTAATTGTTTATGTAAAATTTGACCAGTATCATAAAATTTCAAAATTAGTATGATATGAAGTATTGTAACTTCTGATTATTTTGTGTTAAATTAAAACTTTTGAACAAAATTTATTTTATGAATTTTATATCATGGTGACCAAAATAGTCTTGTATTAATGTACTCTTTATTACAATTACTAGTATATCTTTACATAGAGCCATATACGTTAACATTCCATCAACCTACAATTGATTGAACTGTATATTATAACATTATAACACATATATATATTGCACATTTACATAAATATATTTACAGCTATGATATCCAATTAATTACATGATTTGTATTTAAAAAATGCTTGACATAGAAGAGCAAATATTTTCGTGCACATGAGATCATTCAAACCTAAAATTCAACAGTCCATTTTGTTTTAAGGCAGGTTAGATAG